GTTTACTTATAAAGTATTACTTATATCTCAAACACACTAATTCTATTCTGATCAAAGTAATAGTATTTGTACTATCCTATTAGTAATATTTAAAGTGTTAGTTCTAAAAAAGTGCATCAGATGAGTGGAAAGATGACTCATTTTAATGGCCTGCTCTTGCTTATCATCATTTTTATCAATTTCTAATAAAAATCCTAGTAAGTAATTTATTTATTATTGATTAAGACAGATAAAGATAAAATATAAATTATAAAAGATAAATTTATTGAACAGTATTATTTAGTTTATTACACAGAGTACAAGTTGATAATAAGAATATTATTATGAACATGGTACTAGAAAAGGTGTGATTTAGACAACTAATAGCCATTTAATCATTCAAAGTTACTATAATAATAATTTTAGGGATATACTCTAGTAAAGCCATGGACAACTTTAAATCATTAGATGCTTACAAGTTTTTTATTGATGGATGGGTTCAAACTATAAAACATCAGAAACTGCCTGGTGGAGCTTACATTCTCTATAGCGAATTCAGACCATCATTTAGGACCATTGAAACATGTGTTTCTTTTAAAATAAGTTTCTTACAAGTAAGTTTCTTTTTTATTATTTCTTTAGTCACATTTTTAATTACTTTTTTTTTTCACTTCAACATAATACATAAGACATTAATGTGTAAATAATGTTTTTAACATAAATTGGTCTCTTTTTTTTTTGTAGGTTTTAGAGAGTACCTTCGTGAATGAAGTTAAAAAGTTGTTAATGTTAAGCATTTTCTAGAAGCCAAGACGGAATATCGTTAATCCTCATTTCGTTTACTAAAATTTTAAAAATATTGTTACAATGTTATAATTCATATTGTTGTAATTAGTAATTTTGATCATTTCATTATTATACTGTAAAAAAAAATTTTATTTATAAATTTTATTCAACATATAATAAAAACATGCGGAATAGATTTCACACTGAGGAAAATTTTAAACAAAAATATTGAATTTTTAAATGTTATTAGAACATTAATATGTAGTATTTTTGTTTTATTTATTGACTAGTCTGTAAACTGTGCAATAATTTCAAAATGATGAATTAATTAAATTCCATAATTCCTTTATGCATTTGTACAGATTTATTGTAATATAATGCTAAATTTCGTTCTAAAAAGTCAAGTAAAATCTCTTCAGCTTGTAAAATAGATTGTTCTTTTTACGTATTTAGTTAAAGTAATTGTTGCGTTTGAAGTTGTTGTAATAAAGCAAAAAAACAGTCATCGCAATCCCCTTAAAGTTCTTTTTTCGATCTTTCAAATGCAGCCCCTGTGTAACTTTAGTATCACCTATTTATAATATAATAATTTGATCAAAAGTACGTAAGACAAGTAATTTTATCTAATCCTTCAGATCGGTTGCGCAAACACAGCGGAGCAATAGCAGTACTTTAAGTACACATATGAACACTCAAAAAAGAATTTCTTTCTTTCAATTACCATGAAAGTTAACTTTCTGAATAATGGTAGGTAGCGTGTGACAATTGCTTCACAATCGTAATAATTAAGTCCAAAGATGTTGGATTTTTTTTAATATTTACGGTTAGCTGTTCGCAGAACGCGAACGAAAACATTAGTTTATGCAAATTTAAATAGCAAAATATACTGTCGCTTCAGGCGCCTTTAATAATAAAATTGTGTAAAAATTTAACCAATTGTATAAAAATTGCTGTATTCTTGTAAAGAGTTATATCATTGTTAAAATAAACTAGGTAAACAATAATTTACATATATAAATAAAATAATAAATAACTTAAAATTATATAAAAAACTAAATATAAATGGTGTTTTATTAGATTACATCATATATCTCCGACATTGATTTAAATGTCGCGTTCCTGCCTTAATAATTTTGTTTTATTTTGTAGTTCACATTGATATCTTCGGAACCGTTGTTATTCAACTTAAAATTTATCACAGTGAAATTATTCAACTTAAAATTTATCAACTAAAGAAAAAAATACTTTCATAGTAATTGAATGTAGGAAATTTTTGCGTATTTATATGTATACTTCTTTTTTTTTTTTATTTAGGTGCTTCAAAAAGACCTAACGGTCTTGTCACGGGGGAACGCGGAAGTACGTCTCTAGGAAGTTCACACTTTCTTCCTTACCGTGACGCGAAAATATGTCCAGAGCTCGTGTCAAAACTGAATCTCCTGCTTATAAAGCAAGCGTTGTAACCACTGCGCCACGGCCGCACTACATAAAGTACTTGCTGCTATTGCACTGTGTCCACGCAACCCGTCTGAAAGAATAGATAAAATTACTTGTCTTATGTGCTTTTGATCAAATTACTATATAATATATAATTACTATATTATGTCAATAAGTGATACACAGGGATTGCATTTGAAAGTTGGAAAAAAGAAGCTCAAAGGACTTGCGATGACTGTTCATTTGCTTAATGACAACAACTTCAAACGCAACATTATTTTACTTTACATTTCAATTAATCAGTAAAATTAGTAATCATTAAATTTCAGTAAATTACTTTACATTTCAAAACTGATTATAATATGAAACTAAATACGTAAAAAAGAAAATATGATTCAAAACTTTTTTTTTTTTAATCTACCGGGATTAGACAGAACAATCTATTCTACAGGCTGAAGAGATTTTACTTGACTTTTTAGAACAAAATTTAGCGTTATATTGGAATAAATCTGTGTAAGTGCTTTTTGAAATTATTGCACAGTTTACAGACTAGTCAATAAATAAAACAAAAATACTACATATTTTCTAATAACATTTAAAAATTCTATATTTCTAATATTTATTCTTCATGTTTTTAATATATGTGAAATAAATGTTATAAATAAAAAATACTTTTCACAGTATAATAATGAAATGATCAAAATTACTAATAACAACAATTTGAATTATTATTAAAAATAAACATTGTAACAATAATTATAAAATTTTTTAGTAATTGGTATGAGGATTAACAATATTATGTCTTGGCTTTTAGCAAATGACATAAATGACTTTTTATCTTCATTCACGAAGGTACTCTCTAAAGCCAGTGACAACAGCAGAAACTCTACAAAAGAAAATGAAACCAATTTATGCTGAAAGCATTTACAAATTAATGTCTTATGTATTATGTTAATATGAAAAATAAAAACTTTATTAAAAATATGACTAAATAAATAATAAAGAAGAAACTTACTTTGTAAGATTGTTTTTGTGATCTAAGAACAATCCTAAAGATTAAAAATGACAACATTAAAAGTATGTTTTCCTTTAAAACATGTTTCTTGCCTATTAGTAAATGATTAGAAGTAATGTAATCTTATAATCATTTGTAACATGAGACACCAACAAGAAGGTAAGCAAAGTTGTCTATCAACACAAAACATCAAAACAGTAACATTACAATATTAACACATTAAAACAAAATAAAATTATACACATAATTACTTACAAGTGAGTCAACACCACACCAGAGGTTGAAAAAGAACACAAACACACATATAATGACTTAAGGGTGAGCCAACACGGCACCAGAGGTCGACACAGAACATAAACACATATATATTGACTTATTAGTAAGCCAACATACACATAATCACTTACCCGCTAGCCAACACTGCATTATTTTTAAACTACCATCATTCTCAGCTAAGTTCACTCGTTGTTTTGTGTTGGTTCAAGACACTAACATCTTCTTGTTATTTTTGTTCACTGACTTCAACAACTTGAGAATTATTGCAATGACTTTTTTGTACACAATATTCTAAAAAAATATTAGCATGTTTCAGGTATATAGTAAATACAAACACAGACATTTAAAAATATATATGGCTTGATTTGAGTGTTTTTTTTAGCAAGCAAAGGTTGTAAAAATAAATTTGATATGTCATATTAATAAAATTTGTGCTCAACAAGCTATTGAACATTAATTTATTTAAAAATAAAAGCAATAAAAACATGATTTATAAATGCTTAGTTTTAATGCATTAATATTTATATATACAATTTATTTTTGTTATGCATCAATGCATAACAAAAATAAATTGTAACTATTACATAAACAGTTTTTACAAAAATATTTTAAACAACAAGATAAACTATATTCCAAGTGAATTATTTAATTAATTATTCTCCTTTCATTTTATGGCAACAATTGGTTATGTTGGAGGGATGATTTCACTACACAATTTTTTAGCACCTAACATATTTACTGATGGAAAATAGTCAACATGCTTTTCAAATTTTGAAATGCAACTTGACTATGTTCTTTTTTTCCTAAAAGGGAAACATACTTACTATGAATAAAAATATATAAACGAAAAAACTTCATAAGTTCAAGAAAAATTTGTGTTCAAATATTTTGACGAATCAAATACAAAACTTACCAAATACAAAATGTTTTGAGCATATTTAGACATGTTTTGCGACCAAAGTTTGTTTTTGCTTGATGAATCAATTCTATTTACTTCAATTCATAAAGCCACAATTTTCTTCTCTTTGGATCAGCAGGTAAAATATAAAAACTCAAGTTCGGATGACTATTAACATTAATTGAACAATCAAAAACACAGAATCCTTTCTCCATTTTCAAGCGCTTTGTTTGCCCCGATACCATAATGGTAGCCGTTTAGTTAGTTAAAGTGACGTCAGGTTCGCCGCAAGGATAGCCAGATAAAGCATCAGGTTTACAGAGCAGAGTTTTCAGATCATGTATATTACAGAAAGTCGTTTTCAGATGTTTGTTCAGAAGCACGAATTAGGCGTCTTCCTAACAATCCGCGCTCTTTATCATCTGTGATAACAAGACCTCTGGCAGTTGTACCAATGGCTTCTGCCTTGAATCAGTGTGCTCAAATTTCTAGTGATAAAGCCAAGGACCTTAAAAGTATGTTCAAGTATATGTCTGCTGTAGACGTTGCATTTTATAAAAGTATTTTAAAATAATTTATTTTATTGTCTAAATATTTGTATTATATGTTATGTTGTTAAATGGACTTCTTTCTGAAATGTTATATTTGTAATGGATTAACCAGATATGCTTGATTTGCCTAATTTGAGATATCATTTTACTGTACAATGTACTTTAGATGTTATGTTATTGGAATTAATAACTTAAGTTTTATTTCATTGTAAAGATCTTAAGATAATATATTATTTATCTTCTCTGTTTTGACAAAATAACGTATTCATATAGTTTTTTCAGTTGTGTAAAATAATTTTTTTTTTTCAAATAAAGCAAATATGTACCTTAGAGTACTTTTATTGCCAAAATATAAATTCATCTTGCAACAATAAATTAATTTGTAATATGTTTTTTTACACAAAATGGAGATAGAACAAAATAATACTGTATTTTACAAAAAAAGTGTGTATTACATTGTTCTATTTCTAAATCAAGGTGTAGTAAATAAGACACCTGCAATTTAAATATTTTAAAACAAATTCTTTTAAACTGTGGTAGCCTATATGGGAAATTGATAAAAATCGGTTTTGTTTGCGTTTTTTATGTTATTTGGTCTGCAGGTTCATTTAAAACTTTTTAAAAATTTAATTTTCTTATTTAAAAATTTAATTTTCTCAATTCGGAAAAACATGGAGATAGAACAAAATAATTCTAACCTCGCGAGTTGTAAATATTTAAAATTATCGATTACTGAAATAAACTAAACTATATGATCAAGCGTCACAAAATAATTTGACTCCATTAATGTTACTTTTTCTAAAAAATGTCATTCCTATATGGAACTCGACAAAAGTAAGAGTCTCACTAACTACAAACTTCAAGTAAATCTTTTAATTTTTAAAGATAAATTGTACCTTGAAAAAAATTTTAAAAAATAAACTTTTTTTAAATTTTTAAAGGTGCAATAAAACTCCTTACTATGAATATGAAACTAAACAGGAATCAAATAGATTAATTAGTTATAACTATATAATTGCACATTCTAACATCTACTGCAATATCTGGTCCGTTATCTTTTTAACTTGACTTCTTCTGACTTTCACTTCTGACTTCACAATTTACTTTGTTCCTCTTAAACTCACTTACTCTTGGTCCATCGAAGATGGTTATAATACTCTTTAGTGAGCTGAATTGATCTTCACGGGCCTTGGTATGTGGCCTCTAATGACTATTAGCCGGAGGAGGATAAACAACAATACAAAACTAAGCAGGACATGTTTAAAAAATTGACTCATTGCTTAAATCCTCTTTACAAAGTTGCATGTCATGTAGCTACAAGACTTCTTTAAAATGTGTTTTGTTTTTGTTAACTCTCTTAAAATAATGTCTCATAAAGATTGTTGAAATGACGCATAGGAATAGATCAGAGTTGTTAGTCCTAGGCCTTAGCCTTGCCTTAGGGCCAAAAATAAAAGGCCTTGGCCTTGAAAAGTTTGGCCTAGGCCTTCAATAAAAAAATACATAAAATTAAAGAATTAAAGTTTTCATTCTTTATCTTTATTTTTGTTTTTGGCTTTCATATAAATTTACAAGTAAGATTAGGATTATCGTTATTGATATTATAAAAATTAAATACAATAATAATTACAATACAATATTGTACTGTAATACCAGAGATGTAATTAAAACATTATTTATGGTTATTGTATTGCTGTGAATAAAAACAGTTACAATAACTATTGTTTTGTTTTTTTTTCTAACAATACATTGAAGCTCTTAAACTGTTGTATTGTATTGCTGTGATGTAAAACGATTACAATAACTATTGTATTGTATTGCTGGGATAAAAAACAATTACAATAAGTACTGTGGTGTATTGTATTACTATATGAAAGTCTAATAGCTATTGTATTTTATAGTATTTAGATTCTTTTTTCACGCATTTATTATTATTTGGGCACAAGATAATTTAGCGGTGCCCGTGACGCTCATTTTCAGCAGTCATTTATATATATATAAATTTTATTTATTTTGGGAAGTGAAGTGAAGCCAGGAAAGCCAAAGAAGTGTATATATTACGTATACTTAATAAATATAGGTTCAGAGGCGTACGTGGCACCCGTTTCTAGCAACCACTTACATATATAAATTTTATTTATTTTGAGTTCAATAATATAATTGTTTAAATAATAATTTATTTAGATTTAACATTAATAATATTCATTCAAAATCATACAAATATATAATTTATCATGTGCTTGTAATTAAATAACTATTTACTTTAAGAAGTGAAGTTTTTTTTTTTTTATAGCTTTGTCTAAACTGATATTGACATGTTTCACCGGATGATAACGTCTAAACTAAGGCATTAACTACATTAAGCGCGTGAAATTTTTTTTTTTTCAATATATCTAACCGCTAATGTGTAATATAAATTACAGCGTTATCGAATCAGAGAAACATTTACCTCGGTAATAATTGATTAGATTGTTTTAAAATGTGAACTACTTTTGCTTTGTTAAAAAAATTTCTACATTTTCAGAGTGTTTATCACCTATCAGACCGTACCAGTAAATTTTGTTTGCCTCATTTTTGAAAAATGAGGCTGTTTAGAACACCAAACAAATATTGTTCTTGATTGATGTAACAAAATCTTTTTATAACTTTGCAACTAGATGTTTAGTTACTTTATGAAACACATACAGTCATAAAGCCTAACGGAAACAAAGGACAAATTTATATTAGAGTAAGTGTGAGTTGAGTAAGTTTCGAAACAATTGGATTGGTGCCTAATGTAAAAGCAAATAACTTAGTGGAAGAAGTGGTAGTAATTAATCATGTCTATCCCCAGCAGTAAAAAAAAATACAGACCCGATTAAACTCACTTTTATAAAGCTATATAAAGTTTGCAATGAGGACAAGTGATATTCAGTAAATAAAATAGAAACAGAATCAATAATTATATATTAGTTGTACAGATGTTGTTATTGTTTTATAAGGATGAATTACAATACAATATTTATTGTTATTGTTTTACAGTATTACAATAGTTGTAAATCACAAGTATTGTTATTGTTTCTAAATTAAATTAACACAATAACAATAGTTATTGTTATTGTTTTTATTACAATTACAGTAGTCCTAACCTTATCTACAAGTATATTTTCTTATTGACTTCGTTGAATTCTGCACATAACCTCGGTCTATTTTTACAACATGTGGTTTTATCGTCACAGCATTTGCTACCAACAGTTTCATAAATAATTAGCCTTAATGTAAGGTAAAAGTCTTAAGATTGTACTGTATTTTAAAAATTGTTATTTTTAAAATGCTTTACTTGTTACACGTCAGTTTTAAAATTTCGTCTCATCCGCATATAAATAATACGCAATAGTTGATTTTTCTGTAATAATAGTTAACGGAAGTAACTAAAAGAATAAAAATATGTTATTAAAATAATATAGGTAAATAAATTTTTTGCATAACCTAGGTTTACTGAAAACGTGGATGTCATCGAAAAAAAGATTTTTAGTCAGTCATGGCAAAAATGCTGAATTATGAACTGAAACTAAAATAATATAAAAATAGTTTGAAATGAAATATGGACTGAAAAAAAATGATTTTCCTTAATGAAAAAACATCACTAGGTTTAACATAAAAATCAATTGCGTTTAGATAGAACAATAAGAACTATTAGGGTAAGCATTACTTGGTTTAGAAAAATAGTATTTTGAACTAAGAAAATAAAACTTCAAAGAACTAAGCATGTTTTCATATAGAGAGGTTTTACAAAAAACAATTAAATAAATACAACTGAAAAATAAATATATAAAAAAAGATAACAATTTTTATCCAACAATCCAATTTGTTGATTAAGACTTGAAAACATGGTAAAAAAAAGCGCAAACAATAATAATAATAAAATAATAATAAAAACAAATACGTAAGTAATATAAAAATATATATATATATATATGATGAGTTTACAATTCATGCTTTTAATAACCCTGTATAAAAATCAGGAATATTCATTTCTTTCGCGTGTTCTCGAATTATTTCTTGTATCTTTATTTTGCGACAAACGTGCGGAGGCGAACAACTAAATAAATTTTTTTGGAATTATAAAAACGCTACGTGTGTAAATTTATATCTATATCTATCTATCTATACACATATATGTATATGTATATATATATATATATATATACATATATGTGTGTATATATATATATATATATAATATATATATATATATATATATATATATATATATATATATATATATATATATATATATATATATATATATACACACATATATGTATATATATATATATATATATATATATATATATATATATATATATATATATATATATATATATATATATATATATATATATATATACATACATACATACATATATATATAGTTTCTCACAGTAAGAATAATCATGTTGATAGATCAAAAATTTAGTACATGCACCTTAACGACAGTGTTTCTTTAATATGCATATAATTGAAATCTGAAAAATCACCTGTCTAATTCTAATCTTCGCCTGCGACATATATTAATAGCAGTATTTCGAACCATTGAACCTAGCACTCTTCTACTAACGACCATGCCACTAATAAGAGGTCCTCCAACAGATGAACTAAAAAAAAATTTAAAAATATATTACGCAAAAATTATTTTTTTTTTTTTTAGAGTTTTATTTCAGAAATCTTCTACCGACTTTTCTGTCAATACAAAATGAAAGTAATCACTCACATAAATAGGCATAACTCACACAAATGAATAAATAATGAGTCAACAAAATACATTTTTTTCAGAACTTTAAAACTATCCTAAAAGTATTTTTTGAAGATATTAACTGATCTGTATATAAAGTATCAAACTTAATAATATTATAGTTTTTTTTTTCAATGACAGATTCAAATAACATATGAACAAACCATATTTAACTGTAACTAGCAATAGCAATTTTTTAAATGAACACAAAGTAAAGATTTTATAAAAAGCAACTTGGAAATATTTTAAAGTAGCCCTAAAATAAGGTAAATCGATCAAAATGATCATTTTACTCTGAAAACTTTATACTGTGTCGTTGAAAACTGGTTGAAAACTTGCACAAGAATGTAACAACTTGGATTTAACAACTTTTTCTTTTGTTGCAATGAACTGGTATTAAGAGTATGCATAATACTCAAAATATTCTTGAATTTTTTGGTATCAAAAAAAATATAATTTTATAATATTTTGTTTTTGTATTTTTTAGAATTAAAATAATGAATAAAATAGAAAAAAAGACTTATTTCAAGGAAGAATGGTTAAATAAAGACATTTACCCTCATTTTGACTCTTGGCTAATAAAAGGGAAAAATAACACTCAGGTTAAATGCAAAGTATGCCATAAAATAATTGAACTTTCGAACATGGGTATTCAAGAACTAAAAAGTCATGAGAAAGGGAAAAAAACATTTCACTTGCAAGCATTTTCTTCTATTTTTTTAGCCTAACTAAAAAATTGTAAAAAAGGTTTGTCTTTAGTAGTTCATTACTCTACTTAGCAGTACAATAATAAACTATTGAAAAATGATTTTATTTACATAGTTCAAGATATTTATTATTACATAGTTCGAGATAGAGTAACAAAAGCTCTATAAATTATTAAAATTTTTGTTAGCATTAAAGTTAAGTGCATTAAAAAAATTGATGGGTAAAATTTTTGTTAGCATTAAAGTTAAGTGCATTAAAAAAATTGATGGGTAAAATTTTTGTTAGCATTAAAGTTAAGTGCATTAAAAAAATTGATGGTGTCTTGTAAAATAAGCTTTAATGATGTCCCTCTATTGTAACATGACAGAAAAGTTTAAAAGAAATATCTAAGACTTTTTAGGACTATTTAGAATCAGCAGATCAAAACCTTATGTCACATTCACATCCTTGACTTATAATGAAAAAAAAAAAAAGCAATTGATAGCATCTTACCCAAAAAGAGCATTTATTTTAATACGATATAATCCTGTTTTGAGAGGATGCACAAATATTATTACAACTTCTTTTTCTGGAACTCGACTGTAATTAATATTTGCTGTTGAATAAGAATTCTCATGAGGGTCAGAAAGTTCAATTAAGTCTAAGGCCGGAAATAGTGCTTCATCGGCAAACTCTTGCAGCCAAGCAACCACTACTTTAGTTTCAGAATGACAGTGGTGTGAACGATGCTTTATATCAAAACCACCTGTTGATTCAAAGACTGATTGCTTTTTTGAACTCTTACCTAATAAATAAAAAATCTCACTAATCTCACATAATAAACTTGAAATTTAAACATCAGTAATAGCTAAAATATTTTTATCAAAGTTTTAAAAGAAATCAACTGAAGAGAGTTTGGCAATAATAGTAGCAACTAAAAATGATAGCAATTAAAACTTCGTACCTTCAATAACTGAATGTTCCTCTGAATTTAGTTCAACTGAAGGTAACAGCTGAGAAACCATGGAATTCTCGACTACATCAAATGTAAATGATTCACCCTGTAAATTATTTAAAAAAAAAGGTAAAAAAACAATGATGATGATAATGATAATGATGATGATAAAAATTTTATACAAAAATTACCACATCTATGTTGACTGCAGGCACATGTATGGCAAGCTCAGTTAATGGGTCAGCATAATAATACAGCTTTTTATCTAATCCAAAAATAAGAAAAATAAAATTTTTATAACAATATAACGAACTTTAAAAAACAAAAAACTTACCAGCACTTAAGTTTGGAGCAAATCCACCATTCCAACCAGTATGTGTACTCATGCTTACTGGCCAACCAAGTGATTGTAGAAATTCCATGAAAAAATGGCTGTCAATTGAAGTAATCTAAGTATAAAAATTAAGTTGTTTAAAGAAAAAATTATCCAACAAGCAAAATTCAAAAATATATAAAGAATCAAATACTTTGTTTGACAGTATGCTAATTGGATCATTTTGGCCTTTTTTCACATAAAAAACAAACATTGTGTCAAAAGTGCGACAAGGATATGCATCCAACTTTTCCAACTTGTTCAACAAACATTTTTCTTCGGTATTAACTAACTTTTGTAATCCATATACTTGTCGCGTAGTTGATATCTATAATTAACATTAAATTAACTAATTAACATTGCTTAACAACTAGAAAACAATTATAAAATCGCAACCCTCAGAATTAGAAAAAAATGAGGTCAGCAAGAAAAATTTTAAACAAAGGGGTTACCATAAAAAAAACAAAAACAAGATAGGCAATTTTTTGCCGACCTCAAACACTCTAAGTTTGACAAGTTAGGTTGGCATTGCCGAATGCTGATCTTAATTCCGAGGGTTGAAATCATATATATACTTATATAAAAGTTATGCGTACTTGCAGATTTTCCAAATTGAGGAAACCAAGGTGAGATAAAATCAATCGCCCAATGTTAATGTCTTTAACAGAACTGTTAAAATATGCAAAACAAATACTATTTTGCAAAAAATTCTTTACACAGTATAAAACATATACAATTTTGCAAAAAATATTTTACACAGTACAAAATCAATCAATCAATATTGATATAATTAATAATAATCAAATCTTTCAATTCAAGAATGTTTACAAATAGCATAACTAGTAATGATGCGTAAACAGCTTATAATAATGATGTTAATAATAAATAATAAACAACTCTAAAAATCATAATGTTAACAATAATAATAATAATATTAATAACAAGAATAACAACAAAAATAATGATATTAAAAAACATAAGAACCACAATATTATTAATAATAATGGGTTATAAGTAAAAAACTGTAATGACTTTGAAGACAAAGTTAAGTAACATACTTTATATTAACTAGTGTTGCAATCTTAACTAGTTTGTAGCATTTTAAATTCTCTACAAAACTTGTTTTATCTAAATTAAAACAATTTATTGTTACAGTGAAAAATGAAAGCAAAAATAAGTGCTTGTACAGCTTGTATTTGAAAAATCCATCTAAAGGGAAAAAGTTTACAGTTGATCATTTTCTAGCTGAAGAAATTACTATTAAAACCATCTATACCATTATTTGACGCGCTTAAACATAATTCAGGACAGAAAAGTGTCCTGAATTATGTTAAAAAATTTTAAGTGCACCCGAGTATATATCAGCAAAATATTTAAAACAAAGTCCTTAAAGGATCTCCAAGTGCTGAGACAAGTTGTGTTTTAAAACAAAATATTAAAACAAATGTTTAAAAAAACGCTTAGGCTAAACTTTTTTTGATTTAAACTAAATAATGAATGTACACCATTAATTTTTAAATTCACAAATTAAGTCAAAGCTCGCTATCTCCATTATTTTTTGTATAATGTTAGCTGCAACCTGCAGACTTGATAATTTATTCAATGCGTGTTCAATTTATAACAATTTCACAAAAGCTTGCGATACAATTAAAAATTAAATTTATAAAATTTATAAATATAAAAATTTAATATATAATGAATATTTGCAGCAAAACATACTGGTTTAAACTAAATATAAACTAGATACTGAAAGAATAATTTTACTAAAGTGTATAAATTAATTCAAAGTATAAACTGAATAAAAACCCAATGACTTGAATAAAACATATAAACTGAACTAAGTAGAAAATAAATATTAAACGAATTATTTTACTAATAACCGTACAAATCAAACTAAATTAAAGTTAAAACAAATATTTTTACTAAAATATACAAAAAATAGTAATAATATAAGTATAAAAACGAAGAATCGCATTAACTTGTTTGCTAAAAGCCAAACAAAAATCTTTTTGCGACCGCACATTTTTTTGAATAAAATTTGAATGTCATAACATTGAAATTCAAATTGTAAATCTCCTTAAAAACATTACAAACTATATATCAATAGAAAGCTAAACAAATGTACTTTTTAATTAAATAAGTTTTTAACATACATCATTAAACAATAGGAAATGCAAAATTCTTTAAACCATTGTTTTTATAAATAGTAACTAAAACATTAAGTCCGAAACAAAACTCATTTAATGAATAAAAATAATATTTTTTCTTCAAAAGACTTTGGTAATTACTTAAATAAATACTTAATACTTCTACAAGTTAAGTTTTACAGTGTTAACGCTGTTTTATTTTATAACTAAACTTAATAAAGTTTTTTTTATGAAGGATTATTCAAGATTTTTTAACTCTGTCAAGTGATAACTTTTTTATAATTACACAATATAGCTCTTACTTTTTCTTGATTATGTATAGAATTAAACCTTTAGAACAAACAAATTACATGTGCCTAGAATGGAAATTTATGCACAAAACAAGATAATTTGTAAAGCATACTCGAAAGCCGCTACTAGAGGCTTGCGGCAGTGAAAGAGTTAAACCATAACTAAATGTAAATTAAACGTAAAAGAAACAACTCTATTAAACCATATGAACTAAATATAAAACAAGAAACGGCATTATACTGCTATTATTTTTTCTCTGCCTGCGAATTTTAATAATCACAAAATATGTATAATTGTGTCATGATTTTGGCTGGCTTCTAAAACAATGTAATAATAAAGCAAATATATATACATATATATATATATATATATATATATATATATATATATATATATATATATATATATATATATATATATATATATATATATATATATATATATATATATATATATATATATATATATATATATATAATACAAGTGTCAAATTCAACCTTACTGAAAAATATGAAAAGAAATTACTCATTTGGATTTGCTTTTCCGATAAAAGAATATCTTCAATCAATCTTAGCTGCAATCAACCAAGAAGTCTACAAAAATGATTGTATCAAGAACAAACTAATTCCATTTATCAAAAAACATCATTCTGATGTGAATACATATTTTAGCCTGATCTGGCATCGTCTCATTACGCAAAATCTGTACAAAACTACATGAACAAGAAAAAGATCATTTTTGTCAAAAGAAAAGATAATCCTGCAAATGTGCCTGAATGTCATCCGATTGAGAATTTTTTAGATATATTCAAGGGAAATATGTAGGGTAAAGTAGGGTAATTTCGGCAGGGAGATAATTTCGGCACCACTTCAAAAGACACCTAAAAATATTTATTTAATGAAATATCAAAACTATAATTGAGTATTGTAGAACGATAAACAGTTTTTCTAAAAATATTGGTTTAAACTTCTATTTTTACATTATAGGTACGTTATTTTATGATTATTAGCTTTTTCTTAACATTTTTTTTTTTTTTGAAAATAGAGGATAAATGATTTTTTCCAAAAATTTCTGCCAAAAATTTGTATTTATTTCATTCAAAAATATACACTGAACAAAATGTGAGCAACAATAAAATTAAACTCAAAGTATTTTACAAGATATAAGAGTTTCCCCTAGGACTGCTTTAAGGAGATAATTTCGGCTTATAAATAGTTCTTAATTTCGGCAGTGCCGAATTTGCCGACCTGTTGTTTCTCCAAAACTAAAATGGAAATAAGCGTTTTAAATATATAGAAGAATGTATAGAAGAAATTGATTTTAGTAACTCAGATAATATTAAACTAATAACGAGTTGGTAAAAAAGTGAATTTAGTTAGTGTCACTGTGAAACTTATCAAAATAATAGTTCCCCACAATATATTTTAAATTTATGTCATACATAACAATATGTATATAATAATTTTATTAATTATATACATACAGTTGAATATTATTGAATAATATGCATATAATAATAATAATAATAATAATAATATATATATATATTTATATAAATATATATTATATATATATATATATATATATACATATATATATATATGTATATATATATATTATATATATATATATATATATATATATATATATATATATATATATATATATATATATATATATATGTAAACATTATTTTACAGCATCATATAATGAGTTCAAAACGTGTAAAATATGGTAATTGGTCACAAGAATCATTAAAAATGGCAGTAAATGCAGTTTTAGTTAATGGTTGCTCGAAATATTCTGCTGCTAAACAATATAAAATACCAAGACAAACACTACATGACTATATAAAACGAGCACCTGTTGATAATTTTGTTAAAAAGTTACGTGCAGGACACCCAACAACACTCTCAGCTTTTCAAGAAAAAGAGCTCGTAGAAGTTCTTCTGACCATGTCACAGAGATTGTTTGGTTTGTCTCCAAAAGATGTAAAACAAATGGTATTTCAGTTTTGTGAAGAAAATAGAATTATTCACAAATTTAATAGTGAAACTAAGTCAGCAGGAAAAGAATGGTTTAGGGGTTTTTTGAAACGCCATAATGAACTCTCTGTCAGAGTTGCTGAGTCAACGTCATTGCATCGAGCCATTGGTTTTAATAGAATAAAAGTTAATCGTTTTTACGATGAACTAGAAAAAATAATGTTTAATGCTAATGGGATGCAGATTATTCCACCATCAAACTTATTCAACGTAGATGAATCTGGATTGTCTATTTGCCATAAACCAGGAAAAATTGTTGCTCTTAAGGGAAAACACAGTGTTGGTGGCTCAACAAGCTCCGAAAGAGGTAAAACAATCACAATAGTTTGTTGCCAATCAACAAGCGGGTTTTTTATCCCTCCGATGTTGATCTATCCACGTATTCGAGTGAAACCTGAATTTTTAGATAAAGCCCCAATAGGTTCTATTTCTGGTGGCAGCAAAAATGGCTGGATAACAACTGAGTTGTTTGAAATATGGTTTGATCATTTTTTACAAGCAGTCCAGCCTCAGTCAAGAAACCAACCAGTTCTTCTAATTTTAGATGGACATTCAAGTCATAAAAAAAATCTTAGTGTTATTAAAAAAGCGCGCCACTCAAATGTTATTATTTTATCACTTCCATCCCACTGCACCCACAAACTGCAACCACTTGATGTTTCGTTTTTTAAAAGCCTCAAAATATTCTATGATCAGGAGGTTAGTACTTGGCTTCGTCACCATCCTGGTCGTCCCGTAACTGAACTAGAGGTTGGTGAATTATTTGGAAAAGCCTATGGGAAAGCTGCAACTGTTCAAAATTGTCAGTCAGGGTTCAAAAAATGTGGAATATATCCATTTGATAGAAATGTGTTTACTCAAGAAGACTTTGCTGCAGCCAAGGCTACTGATCACTCGTATGTTGTATCAAAAATTTCAAAACCAAATAATACCTCTGAAATGCACCCTACTCTCAACAATGGGTTAGACTCTGCTAAAGAATTAGATAATATTGATTTTGTTACAGATTGTGTTATTGACACTCAAAAAGGTAAATCGTCATAAATGTTGTATTATTTTTAACATCTTCCGCATTTTATTTAAAATACAAATATGACTTTTTTAAAATCAAGCAAAATATTAACTTATCTGTTGTTTTATTAACCTAAAAAAAGGTTTCTTAAAGAAAGTTCAAATTTTTTAAAAACATTTTAACTATTTTTTATAATTTGCATGTTGCCTATTTTTATTCACCCTCTTTAGTTAAATAATTTTTATTTAGAATCTATTTCACCAAATTCATCATTTACACTTCAGAAGTCATCAGAATTAGCCACCTCACACGATGAAACCTCACAAGCTTATGGTGTTACATTTGGATCACTAGCTGGACTTGACATTAAAAATGCAAAGCGAACAGGTATAAAAAGGAGGGTAAATCATGCTGAAAAAATTACTGGATCACAATATAAATCTCAGCTAGAGGAATCTTTAAACTTGAAATATAAGAACAGACAGCCACGTAAAAAGTGCATTAAAAAAAGTATATCTACTCATCAAAAGACGTGTTTGAAAAACCTTGATGCTAAAGGTGCGATTAATAAACAACTTTGTGCAAAGTGTCAATACAGTTATGGTGATCCTGTCGATCCTTATTTAAAAGATAATTGGGATAAATGCCTTAAATACTGTAGATGGTGGCATGAAACATGTGCTGCTATATGTGGTGTTTATACTAAAAAAGTATTTACTTGTGATGACTGTATAAAGCACTGATTCTGTAAAAAAGAGTTATATGTCATATATTGATAAAATGTGTTTTAATTTTCTTAAATAAATCTCTTGTTAAAAAGTTTCCTTTGAGTTTTGTTTTTCATTTTTTTAAGTTTAATTATTGATGTTATGTAAAATATTATTTTATGAACTACTTATGAGCTTATAAACATAAATTCTTATTTAAACAGAATTTAGAAATAATCATCGAAATCGTAGAAATTAGTAATCGTTTCATTAACAATTATACTTTGGAAGCACATTTATATTTAATAAGGTTTCTGTTTTGGGTGACATTCATACTTTAATAAAAAAGGTGACATTCATACTTTAAAAATACATGACATTTATACTTTAATAAAATAAATAGGTGGTTCAAAAATTATTATTTTTTGCAACTGAAACGCCCTTAAATAAGTGCCAATTAGGTGTAACAAATTCTATTTAAGAGACAATTCTTTATACAATCCAGATTTATAGCTGTTTATAATATTTTAAATATATCAATGCGTTTTCAACAAACTTCTTAATTTTCATAACTATGCCGAATTTACTGTACCATAGTGCCGAAAATACCATACTAGGTCGCTAATTTCGTCATTTTTGAGTATTTTGTAAAACAGGTTTTACGTAAAACTTTGTAAGTTGGAAACAATTTTTTAACTATTATTTAATAGATATATCTGCAGTGCATCGATATGCATGATTTTTTAACATTATTAAAGCAACCGTTGTCTATAAACAGCAAAATAGCTTAATACGCCGAAATTACCCTACTTTACCCTATGAGAATAATTGGAAAGCTGATAATCTCGAGAAATTGCGCAATAGAATAAAGCATTGCCTTTCTAAAATGGAAAAATCTCTTGTACAGTGCCTTTCTGAGACAACTCGACGCCAATTAGACTATGTAAGACGCAATAATTTGATTGAAAAAAATTATTATGCAAATAAATTGCCCACCTAAAATACTATTTTTTTTCTTTTTTAAATTAAGTTTTTATCTCATGAACCAAGGGAGTTATGTCCCTTCAAAGTTATTACCATTTATTAGTTATAACCCATTAATAATAATAAAAAACATTACTAATAATAATTGCAATAACAATAATAATAAAAATAAGAATAATAAAAATGATAATAAGTTTCTTGCTTTTATAAACACAATAGCTATATATACAAAGTTTGACAAAATTACCAACAGTTAAAAACTGACAAAATCTAACAACTAACAATGACATAAAGCAATTATTTAAATATAAAACAAGAAAATAGGAAACATAATTAAAAAAAATAAAAATAATACCAATGATAACAATAATTATAATAGAAATAAAAATAACAAAAAAAAAAAAATAAAAAACAAAAAAAAATACCTAACATTAAAAGAAGTAATACTATTAAAAAATCAAAACTAACAAAAACAATGACAAAAAAAAACAAAAAAAAAAACAAAATAGATATACATACACACACACATGCATACACACATACATATACATATGCATACAGAAATACACATACGCGCCTAAATACACTCAAATACAAATGTATTCATTTACATATAGATATAGAAAAAAAAATTATTTAACTACAAAACTTAAATAATTCGCTATTTATTCTGTGTACAAACAGTACACAAAATAAAAGTGAAAGAATAAATATATCTTTTTTTTTTCAGTAATTTTATTAAGTTTTTTCCACTAATATATTTTTCATTTAGTTTTCATATTTAACTTAAAATTAGTCTAAAAGATAATAATAATAATAATAATAATAATAATAATAATAATAATAATAATAATAATAATAATAATAATAATAATAAAAAAATTATAAAAAAATTATGCAAAAATATTTGGAAAATCCCAATAAGAGCTACAATTTAACAGCAAAATATCCTTATATCCTTGCAAATATATCCTTACACTGTTAGTAATGTTATTTTTTAATATTTAAAAAAAAAATAACGATCAAATATAAATTTAGAATAAAGGACAGTTTTAAAAATACAAAACTGGTTAACCGTTTTAAGATTGACCCAAACCCATTTAACTTAAAATAAATTTCTTATAAATATTTCATCTTTATATATTAATGTATTAAAATTATTACTTAGTTATAATGAGAATCAAGGAAACATGCAAAA